GCGACGTACCAAAAGATTTTGGGCTCTCTAAAGCGTTGGAAAGGCGTTTACAGCTCACGAGAGATGCAGAAACGCTTTAGAACAGTCAGAAATGCTTATGTTAAGGTACGCATATCATGTTCATTGAAAATGGACTTGGCTAACCAACAAACCTGTTTAGAGTGAGAAACCTATCATAATGTCATGTTGTACGAAAAACAACACGAGAAAAAAAACTTGGGCAATGGACCCTGTGAAATACAGTGGCTGACGTTTTGGGCTCTCTAAAGCGCTGAAAAGGCGTTTACAGCTCACGAGAGACGCAGAAAAGCATATCATGTTCATTGAAAATGTACTTGGCTAACCAACAAACCTGTTTAGAGTGAGAAACCTATCATAATGAGAGATGAAGAAAAAAAAACAGAAACTTGACTTGGAAGGGGGAATCCGTGAAATGCTAAGCCTATCGTTTTTGGATCTCACGAGAGACGCAGAAAAGTTTTAGAACAGTCAGAAATGCTTATGTTAAGGTACGCATATCATGTACAATGAAATAGACGTGTTTGCTGTACAAATGTGTTTAGTGTATAAAATAATCATGATCTCACGTTTTCATGAAGACCAAAACTAGAAACTTGACTTGGAAGGGGGATCCGTGAAATGCTAAGCCTATCGTTTTTGGATCTCTCATGCGCTGAAAAGCCGTTTACAGCTCACGAGAGACGCAGAAACGCTTTAGAACAGTCAGAAATGCTTATCTTAAGGTACGCATATCATGTTCATTGAAAATGGACTAGTCGGCTGTACAAACGTGTTTAGAGTAAGAAAACTATCATAATGTCATGTTTTTACTAACAACAAAACGAGAAACAAAACTTGGGCAAAGCACCCTGTGAAACGCAGTGGCTGAGATTTTGGGCTCTCTACAGCGTTGGAAAGGCGTTTACAGCTCACGAGAGACGCAGAAACGCTTTAGAACAGTCAGAAATGCTTATGTTAAGGTACGCATATCATGTACAATGAAATGGACTTGTTTGCTGTACAAACGTGTTTAGTGTATGAAAATAATCATGATCTCACGTTTTCATAAAGACCAAAACTAGAAACTTGACTTGGAAGGGGGATCCGTGAAATGCTAAGCCTATCGTTTTTGGATCTCTAAAGCGCTGTTTACAGCTCACGAGAGACGCAGAAACGCTTTAGAACAGTCAGAAATGCTTATGTTAAGGTACGCATATCATGTTCATTGAAAATGGACTTGTCTGCTGTACAAACGTGTTTAGAGCAAGAAAACTATCATAATGTCATGTTTTTACTAAAAACAAAAACGAGAAACAACACTTGGGCAAAGCACCCTGTGAAACGCAGTGGCTGAGATTTTGGGCTCTCTAAAGCGCTGAAAAGGCCTTTACAGCTCACCAGAGGCGCAGAAACGCTGTAGAACAGTCAGAAATGCTTATGTTAAGGTACGCATATCATGTTCATTGAAAATGGACTTGTCTAACCAACAAACGTGTTTAGAGTGAGAAACCTATCATAATGTCATGTTTTTACTAAAAACAAAACGAGAAAAAAAACTTGGGCAATGGACCCTGTGAAATACAGTGGCTGACGTTTTGGGCTCTCTAAAGCGCTGAAAAGGCGTTTACAGCTCACGAGAGACGCAGAAACGCTTTAGATGTTTTTACGAAAAACAAAGCGAGAAACAAAACTTGGGCAAAGCACCCTGTGAAACGCTGTGGCTGAGAATTTGGGCTTTCTAAAGCGCTGAAAAGGCGTTTGCAGCTTACCAGTGGCGCAGAAACGCTTTAGAACAGTCAGAAATGCTTATGTTAAGGTACGCATATCATGTACATTGAAAATGGACTTGTCTAACCAACAAACGTGTTTAGAGTAAGAAACCTATCATAATGTCATGTTTTTACTAAAAACAAAACGAGAAACAAAACTTGGGCAAAACACCCCGTGAAATATAGTGGCTGACGTTTTGGACTCTCTCAAGCGCTGAAAAGGCGTTTACAGCTCACCAGAGGCGCAGAAAACGCTTTAGAACAGTCAGAAATGCTTATGTTAAGGTAAGCATATCATGTACAATGAAATGGACTTGTTTGCTGTATAAACGTGTTTAGTGTATGAAAATGATCATGATATCACGTTTTCATGAAGAACAAAACCAGAAACTTGACTTGGAAGGGAGGGATCCGTGAAATGCTAAGCCTATCGTTTTTGGATCTCTAAAGCGCTGAAAAGGCGTTTACTGCAAAGGGGAGACGAAGAAACGCTTTAGAACTGTCAGAAAAGCTTATGTTAAGGTACGCATATCATGTTCATTGAAAATGGACTTGTCTAACCAACAAACGTGTTTAGAGTGAGAAACCTATCATAATGTCATGTTTTTACTAAAAACAAAACGAGAAACAAAAACTTGGGCAATGGACCCTGTGAAATACAGTGGCTGACGTTTTGGGCTCTCTAAAGCGCTGAAAAGGCGTTTACAGCTCACGAGAGGCGCAGAAACGCTTTAGCACAGTCAGAAATGCTTATGTTAAGGGACGCATATCATATACATTGAAATGGACTCGTCTGCCTAACAAACGTGTTTAGAGTAAGAAAACTATCATAATACCACGTTTTCATGAAGAAAAAAACAAGAAACTTGACCTGGAAGGAGAAATCCGTGAAATGCTAAGCCTATCGTTTTTGGATCTCTAAAGCGCTGAAAAGGCGTTTACAGCTCACCAGAGGCGCAGAAACGCTTTAGAACAGTCAGAAATGCTTATGTTAAGATACGCATATCATGTTCATTGAAAATGGACTTGTCTATCCAACAAACGTGTTTAGAGTAAGAAACCTATCATAAAGTCATGTTTTTACTAACAACAAAACGAGAAAAACAACTTGGACAATGGACCCTGTGAAATAAAGTTGCTCACGTTTTGGGCTCTCTCAAGCGCTGAAAAGGCGTTTACAGCTCACCAGAGGCGCAGAAACGCTTTAGAACAGTCAGAAATGCTTATGTTAAGGTACGCATATCATGTACATTGAAAATGGACTTGTCTAACCAACAAACGTGTTTAGTGTATGAAAATGATCATGATATCACGTTTTCATGAAGAACAAAACCAGAAACTTGACTTGGAAGGGGGGATCCGTGAAATGCGAAGCCTATCGTTTTTGGATCTCTAAAGCGCTGAAAAGGCGTTTACAGCTCACGAGAGACGCAGAAACGCTTTAGAACAGTCAGAAATGCTTATGTTAAGGTACGCATATCATGTACATTGAAAATAGACTTGTCTAACCAACAAACGTGTTTAGAGTAAGAAACTTATCATAATGTCATGTTTTACTAAAAACAAACGAGAAACAAAACTTGGGCAATGGACCCTGTGAAATACAGTGGCTGACGTTTTGGGCTCTCTAAAGCGCTGAAAAGGCGTTTACAGCTCACGAGAGACGCAGAAACGCTTTAGAACTGTCAGAAATGCTTATGTTAAGGTACGCATATCATGTACATTGAAAATGGACTTGTCTGCTGTACAAACGTGTTTAGAGTAAGAAAACTATCATAATGTCATGTTTTTACTAAAAACAAAACAAGAAACAAAACTTGGGTAAAACACCCTGTGAAATACAGTGGCTGACGTTTTGGGCTCTCTAAAGCGCTGAAAAGGCGTTTACAGCTCACGAGAGACGCAGAGACGCTTTAGAACAGTCAGAAATGCTTATGTTAAGGTACGCATATCATGTACTATGAAATGGACTTGTTTGCTGTACAAACGTGTTTAGAGCAAGAAAACTATCATAATGTCATGTTTTTACTAAAAACAAAACAAGACACAAAACTTGGGCAAAACACCCTGTGAAATACAGTGGCTGACGTTTTGGCATCTCCAAAGCGCTGATAAGGCGTTTACAGCTCACCAGAGGAGCTTAATCGCTTTTTCACACTAAGAAACGCGTATGTTAAACTGAAAACACTATGTTCATTGAAATAGACTTGTCTGCTGTACAACCGTGTTCACTGTGAGAAAACTGACATAATATTACGTTTTCTTTAAGAATAAAACAAGAAACTTGACCTGGAAGAAGGAATCTATGAAATGCTAAGCGTATCATTTTGGATCTGTGAAGCGCTGAAAAGGCGATTACAGCGCACCAGAAGCTTTGAAACACTTTAGAATTTTCAGAAAACCTTATGTTCAGGTGAAGTTATCATGTGCTTTGAAAATGGACTCGTCTGCCGAACAAACATTTTCGTAGTGTAAGAAAACTATCATAACATCACTTTTTTCTTGAAGAACAACGAAAGACGAACAACACGCTGTCTTGGTTTCGTTAACTTACTTTATTTTACTTGCATCTTCAAGTAAAACTGCCATAATGTCACGGAGTAATGAAAAACAAAACATGGAATTTAACTTGGGCAATGCACTCTGTGGAATATGCTGAGGCTGTCGTTTTGGGATCTCAAAAGTGCTGCAACGGCGTTTTCAGTTAACCAGAGAAATGCTTTAGTGTTTCATTTCATTACATTAAACCATTCAGTTGGAAAAGTTTCAGTATTATCTATATAACAATAAGTAACACTTCACAGTAGCTATATTTTCATGAAGAATTCATGTTACATTCACAAACATTAAACATATTAAACATAACACTACTACAATTACAGAATCGCTCTGAAACATTCATTACATGTATTCAGGTATATTTAAACATATTTAGTAGTGAGTAACAAGATAAAAACAGTGATCTAGTAAACTGGTGATATTAAACATGTCTTGGCTGGTCATCTATGCCTGGTGTAAGCGGGAAATTAAAATTTTCACCAAACTAACATGAAATGGGTAGGAGAGTGGATACCCATACCCTGGTTGAAACCAAAAGCATTTAAAGATTTTTGTAGAATTCTTTTTTTGCCTATAGATATGTATGTACGTCAAATTATTACGTTTACTCTGTACCTATTGTTTTGAGCTTATATACACATATCCAGTCACACTACACTGTAAAAAGTTGCTTGGGCAACACTTTGCGCAGAATTTCCCCCAATTTTTCCTTGTACACTCAACTTTTCTAAATTACTAGTTATACTGACAGACATTTTTTTTGTAAATACCAAAAGAAATATTTAGTTGAGCTATCATGAGAACATTTATGGTACTCATAAGTATAACTAGTCTTGAGCAAAGGTCTCTGAGTTGGACTAACTTTTATTTCTTTGTTTACCGAACAAAAAAAATAGGTTATGTTAGGTTATGTAACTATTACATTCTCGCTCACTAAACAAAGTTTTCTGAAGTTAACTTAAAATATTCTTTGGAAATCAGTACTAAGGAACATTAAGTCGTGTCATTAAACTTAAAGAACACAGTTAGTGTCCAGCTCTACAGTAAAATGTATCTAAACGTGAAAAGAAATAGAAGAGGCAGTAAAACACAGGTGATCACAGCTGAGCAATCAAATGTCTGCCACAGTTCTAAGAAAATAGTGTCATACAATAAGCCACTATGTACTGTATCATGTCTTGTAAATGTAACAATTCTTAAAGCTCACCTGTGCTCACCAATATGTGGACATGAACGGATTACACCAGAAAGTGTTTTGCTTTGCTAAAGCAATTGCTTTAATTGTTAGAACAAGATATACAGAACTTACAGTTCAGACAAAATGAGTGGAATGACAATCACCTAAAGAGACAGTTACGATGGTGATAACCAAGAATTACAAATTAAATTGGCAGTACACCGCTGTACCTGATATTATGTATACACTCACTGGCCACTTAATTATGTACAGCTACAGCTAGTATGTAAGCTCATTTTCCATTTAATTTCCAAACGTGCACTTTGTGGTTCTGCAATTGCAGATTGTAGTTGATCTGTTTCTCTACATAACTTGTTAATCCTTTCACCTTGTTCATCAATGATCAGGACCCCAACCAGGACCACCACAGAGCAGGTATTATTTTTAGTTTGTTCTCAGCGCAGCAGTGACACTGTCATGGTAGTATGCATGGTACTGGTACTAGAGAATCAAATACACAATCAAAAACACCTCGTTGTCACTGCTGCAGTGAGAATACCAAAAGGCATCCTGTGTGCAGCGTCCTGTGACCACTGATGAAGGACTAGAGAGGATGACCAACACAAACTGATCTATCGTCTCTGACTTTACATTTACAAGGTGGACCAACAAGGTAGGAGTGTCTAATAGAGTGGACACTGAGTGGCAACAGAGTTTAAAAACTCCAGCATCACTTCTGTGTCCAATACACCACCCAAATAATAGCTGCTCTGTGGAGGTCCTGGCAGGGTTCTGATCACTGAGGAACTGGATGAAAGGGGATAAAAGGTATGCAGAGATACAGATAGACTGCAGTCTTTAAGTTAGGAATACCTTAAAAATGACCAGTGAGTGCATACGTATATGTGGGGGAGAGAGACAGCAAGAGAACGAACATCTGAAGCCTAGTCCACTGTGCTAAACATACTCATACCTTAACAGACATGGGGGTTTCTGGTCAAATTCTTTGTCACTTTCAGCTTGTAAAGGTGGATTCTTCATGGCTGCATCAAAAACGAAGAAAAAGTAAGCAAGATTACTAAGAAACAGTCACCAGACAAAAGATGAGAATAATCCCAAAAGTAGACAGTATGACAAATCAGTACTAAGGAACATTAAGTCGTGTCATTAAACTTAAAGAACACAGTTAGTGTCCAGCTCTACAGTAAAATGTATCTAAACGTGAAAAGAAATAGAAGAGGCAGTAAAACACAGGTGATCACAGCTGAGCAATCAAATGTCTGCCACAGTTCTAAGAAAATAGTGTCATACAATAAGCCACTATGTACTGTATCATGTCTTGTAAATGTAACAATTCTTAAAGCTCACCTGTGCTCACCAATATGTGGACATGAACGGATTACACCAGAAAGTGTTTTGCTTTGCTAAAGCAATTGCTTTAATTGTTAGAACAAGATATACAGAACTTACAGTTCAGACAAAATGAGTGGAATGACAATCACCTAAAGAGACAGTTACGATGGTGATAACCAAGAATTACAAATTAAATTGGCAGTACACCGCTGTACCTGATATTATGTATACACTCACTGGCCACTTAATTATGTACAGCTACAGCTAGTATGTAAGCTCATTTTCCATTTAATTTCCAAACGTGCACTTTGTGGTTCTGCAATTGCAGATTGTAGTTGATCTGTTTCTCTACATAACTTGTTAATCCTTTCACCTTGTTCATCAATGATCAGGACCCCAACCAGGACCACCACAGAGCAGGTATTATTTTTAGTTTGTTCTCAGCGCAGCAGTGACACTGTCATGGTAGTATGCATGGTACTGGTACTAGAGAATCAAATACACAATCAAAAACACCTCGTTGTCACTGCTGCAGTGAGAACACCAGAAAAAAAGGCATCCTGTGTGCAGCGTCCTGTGACCACTGATGAAGGACTAGAGAGGATGACCAACACAAACTGATCTATCGTCTCTGACTTTACATTTACAAGGTGGACCAACAAGGTAGGAGTGTCTAATAGAGTGGACACTGAGTGGCAACAGAGTTTAAAAACTCCAGCATCACTTCTGTGTCCAATACACCACCCAAATAATAGCTGCTCTGTGGAGGTCCTGGCAGGGTTCTGATCACTGAGGAACTGGATGAAAGGGGATAAAAGGTATGCAGAGATACAGATAGACTGCAGTCTTTAAGTTAGGAATACCTTAAAAATGACCAGTGAGTGCATACGTATATGTGGGGGAGAGAGACAGCAAGAGAACGAACATCTGAAGCCTAGTCCACTGTGCTAAACATACTCATACCTTAACAGACATGGGGGTTTCTGGTCAAATTCTTTGTCACTTTCAGCTTGTAAAGGTGGATTCTTCATGGCTGCATCAAAAACGAAGAAAAAGTAAGCAAGATTACTAAGAAACAGTCACCAGACAAAAGATGAGAATAATCCCAAAAGTAGACAGTATGACAAATCAGTACTAAGGAACATTAAGTCGTGTCATTAAACTTAAAGAACACAGTTAGTGTCCAGCTCTACAGTAAAATGTATCTAAACGTGAAAAGAAATAGAAGAGGCAGTAAAACACAGGTGATCACAGCTGAGCAATCAAATGTCTGCCACAGTTCTAAGAAAATAGTGTCATACAATAAGCCACTATGTACTGTATCATGTCTTGTAAATGTAACAATTCTTAAAGCTCACCTGTGCTCACCAATATGTGGACATGAACGGATTACACCAGAAAGTGTTTTGCTTTGCTAAAGCAATTGCTTTAATTGTTAGAACAAGATATACAGAACTTACAGTTCAGACAAAATGAGTGGAATGACAATCACCTAAAGAGACAGTTACGATGGTGATAACCAAGAATTACAAATTAAATTGGCAGTACACCGCTGTACCTGATATTATGTATACACTCACTGGCCACTTAATTATGTACAGCTACAGCTAGTATGTAAGCTCATTTTCCATTTAATTTCCAAACGTGCACTTTGTGGTTCTGCAATTGCAGATTGTAGTTGATCTGTTTCTCTACATAACTTGTTAATCCTTTCACCTTGTTCATCAATGATCAGGACCCCAACCAGGACCACCACAGAGCAGGTATTATTTTTAGTTTGTTCTCAGCGCAGCAGTGACACTGTCATGGTAGTATGCATGGTACTGGTACTAGAGAATCAAATACACAATCAAAAACACCTCGTTGTCACTGCTGCAGTGAGAATACCAAAAAAAAACAAAAAAAAAGGCATCCTGTGTGCAGCGTCCTGTGACCACTGATGAAGGACTAGAGAGGATGACCAACACAAACTGATCTATCGTCTCTGACTTTACATTTACAAGGTGGACCAACAAGGTAGGAGTGTCTAATAGAGTGGACACTGAGTGGCAACAGAGTTTAAAAACTCCAGCATCACTTCTGTGTCCAATACACCACCCAAATAATAGCTGCTCTGTGGAGGTCCTGGCAGGGTTCTGATCACTGAGGAACTGGATGAAAGGGGATAAAAGGTATGCAGAGATACAGATAGACTGCAGTCTTTAAGTTAGGAATACCTTAAAAATGACCAGTGAGTGCATACGTATATGTGGGGGAGAGAGACAGCAAGAGAACGAACATCTGAAGCCTAGTCCACTGTGCTAAACATACTCATACCTTAACAGACATGGGGGTTTCTGGTCAAATTCTTTGTCACTTTCAGCTTGTAAAGGTGGATTCTTCATGGCTGCATCAAAAACGAAGAAAAAGTAAGCAAGATTACTAAGAAACAGTCACCAGACAAAAGATGAGAATAATCCCAAAAGTAGACAGTATGACAAATCAGTACTAAGGAACATTAAGTCGTGTCATTAAACTTAAAGAACACAGTTAGTGTCCAGCTCTACAGTAAAATGTATCTAAACGTGAAAAGAAATAGAAGAGGCAGTAAAACACAGGTGATCACAGCTGAGCAATCAAATGTCTGCCACAGTTCTAAGAAAATAGTGTCATACAATAAGCCACTATGTACTGTATCATGTCTTGTAAATGTAACAATTCTTAAAGCTCACCTGTGCTCACCAATATGTGGACATGAACGGATTACACCAGAAAGTGTTTTGCTTTGCTAAAGCAATTGCTTTAATTGTTAGAACAAGATATACAGAACTTACAGTTCAGACAAAATGAGTGGAATGACAATCACCTAAAGAGACAGTTACGATGGTGATAACCAAGAATTACAAATTAAATTGGCAGTACACCGCTGTACCTGATATTATGTATACACTCACTGGCCACTTAATTATGTACAGCTACAGCTAGTATGTAAGCTCATTTTCCATTTAATTTCCAAACGTGCACTTTGTGGTTCTGCAATTGCAGATTGTAGTTGATCTGTTTCTCTACATAACTTGTTAATCCTTTCACCTTGTTCATCAATGATCAGGACCCCAACCAGGAACACCACAGAGCAGGTATTATTTTTAGTTTGTTCTCAGCGCAGCAGTGACACTGTCATGGTAGTATGCATGGTACTGGTACTAGAGAATCAAATACACAATCAAAAACACCTCGTTGTCACTGCTGCAGTGAGAATACCAAAAAAAAACAAAACAAAAAAAAGGCATCCTGTGTGCAGCGTCCTGTGACCACTGATGAAGGACTAGAGAGGATGACCAACACAAACTGATCTATCGTCTCTGACTTTACATTTACAAGGTGGACCAACAAGGTAGGAGTGTCTAATAGAGTGGACACTGAGTGGCAACAGAGTTTAAAAACTCCAGCATCACTTCTGTGTCCAATACACCACCCAAATAATAGCTGCTCTGTGGAGGTCCTGGCAGGGTTCTGATCACTGAGGAACTGGATGAAAGGGGATAAAAGGTATGCAGAGATACAGATAGACTGCAGTCTTTAAGTTAGGAATACCTTAAAAATGACCAGTGAGTGCATACGTATATGTGGGGGAGAGAGACAGCAAGAGAACGAACATCTGAAGCCTAGTCCACTGTGCTAAACATACTCATACCTTAACAGACATGGGGGTTTCTGGTCAAATTCTTTGTCACTTTCAGCTTGTAAAGGTGGATTCTTCATGGCTGCATCAAAAACGAAGAAAAAGTAAGCAAGATTACTAAGAAACAGTCACCAGACAAAAGATGAGAATAATCCCAAAAGTAGACAGTATGACAAATCAGTACTAAGGAACATTAAGTCGTGTCATTAAACTTAAAGAACACAGTTAGTGTCCAGCTCTACAGTAAAATGTATCTAAACGTGAAAAGAAATAGAAGAGGCAGTAAAACACAGGTGATCACAGCTGAGCAATCAAATGTCTGCCACAGTTCTAAGAAAATAGTGTCATACAATAAGCCACTATGTACTGTATCATGTCTTGTAAATGTAACAATTCTTAAAGCTCACCTGTGCTCACCAATATGTGGACATGAACGGATTACACCAGAAAGTGTTTTGCTTTGCTAAAGCAATTGCTTTAATTGTTAGAACAAGATATACAGAACTTACAGTTCAGACAAAATGAGTGGAATGACAATCACCTAAAGAGACAGTTACGATGGTGATAACCAAGAATTACAAATTAAATTGGCAGTACACCGCTGTACCTGATATTATGTATACACTCACTGGCCACTTAATTATGTACAGCTACAGCTAGTATGTAAGCTCATTTTCCATTTAATTTCCAAACGTGCACTTTGTGGTTCTGCAATTGCAGATTGTAGTTGATCTGTTTCTCTACATAACTTGTTAATCCTTTCACCTTGTTCATCAATGATCAGGACCCCAACCAGGACCACCACAGAGCAGGTATTATTTTTAGTTTGTTCTCAGCGCAGCAGTGACACTGTCATGGTAGTATGCATGGTACTGGTACTAGAGAATCAAATACACAATCAAAAACACCTCGTTGTCACTGCTGCAGTGAGAATACCAGAAAAAAAGGCATCCTGTGTGCAGCGTCCTGTGACCACTGATGAAGGACTAGAGAGGATGACCAACACAAACTGATCTATCGTCTCTGACTTTACATTTACAAGGTGGACCAACAAGGTAGGAGTGTCTAATAGAGTGGACACTGAGTGGCAACAGAGTTTAAAAACTCCAGCATCACTTCTGTGTCCAATACACCACCCAAATAATAGCTGCTCTGTGGAGGTCCTGGCAGGGTTCTGATCACTGAGGAACTGGATGAAAGGGGATAAAAGGTATGCAGAGATACAGATAGACTGCAGTCTTTAAGTTAGGAATACCTTAAAAATGACCAGTGAGTGCATACGTATATGTGGGGGAGAGAGACAGCAAGAGAACGAACATCTGAAGCCTAGTCCACTGTGCTAAACATACTCATACCTTAACAGACATGGGGGTTTCTGGTCAAATTCTTTGTCACTTTCAGCTTGTAAAGGTGGATTCTTCATGGCTGCATCAAAAACGAAGAAAAAGTAAGCAAGATTACTAAGAAACAGTCACCAGACAAAAGATGAGAATAATCCCAAAAGTAGACAGTATGACAAATCAGTACTAAGGAACATTAAGTCGTGTCATGAAACTTAAAGAACACAGTTAGTGTCCAGCTCTACAGTAAAATGTATCTAAACGTGAAAAGAAATAGAAGAGGCAGTAAAACACAGGTGATCACAGCTGAGCAATCAAATGTCTGCCACAGTTCTAAGAAAATAGTGTCATACAATAAGCCACTATGTACTGTATCATGTCTTGTAAATGTAACAATTCTTAAAGCTCACCTGTGCTCACCAATATGTGGACATGAACGGATTACACCAGAAAGTGTTTTGCTTTGCTAAAGCAATTGCTTTAATTGTTAGAACAAGATATACAGAACTTACAGTTCAGACAAAATGAGTGGAATGACAATCACCTAAAGAGACAGTTACGATGGTGATAACCAAGAATTACAAATTAAATTGGCAGTACACCGCTGTACCTGATATTATGTATACACTCACTGGCCACTTAATTATGTACAGCTACAGCTAGTATGTAAGCTCATTTTCCATTTAATTTCCAAACGTGCACTTTGTGGTTCTGCAATTGCAGATTGTAGTTGATCTGTTTCTCTACATAACTTGTTAATCCTTTCACCTTGTTCATCAATGATCAGGACCCCAACCAGGACCACCACAGAGCAGGTATTATTTTTAGTTTGTTCTCAGCGCAGCAGTGACACTGTCATGGTAGTATGCATGGTACTGGTACTAGAGAATCAAATACACAATCAAAAACACCTCGTTGTCACTGCTGCAGTGAGAATACCAGAAAAAAAGGCATCCTGTGTGCAGCGTCCTGTGACCACTGATGAAGGACTAGAGAGGATGACCAACACAAACTGATCTATCGTCTCTGACTTTACATTTACAAGGTGGACCAACAAGGTAGGAGTGTCTAATAGAGTGGACACTGAGTGGCAACAGAGTTTAAAAACTCCAGCATCACTTCTGTGTCCAATACACCACCCAAATAATAGCTGCTCTGTGGAGGTCCTGGCAGGGTTCTGATCACTGAGGAACTGGATGAAAGGGGATAAAAGGTATGCAGAGATACAGATAGACTGCAGTCTTTAAGTTAGGAATACCTTAAAAATGACCAGTGAGTGCATACGTATATGTGGGGGAGAGAGACAGCAAGAGAACGAACATCTGAAGCCTAGTCCACTGTGCTAAACATACTCATACCTTAACAGACATGGGGGTTTCTGGTCAAATTCTTTGTCACTTTCAGCTTGTAAAGGTGGATTCTTCATGGCTGCATCAAAAACGAAGAAAAAGTAAGCAAGATTACTAAGAAACAGTCACCAGACAAAAGATGAGAATAATCCCAAAAGTAGACAGTATGACAAATCAGTACTAAGGAACATTAAGTCGTGTCATTAAACTTAAAGAACACAGTTAGTGTCCAGCTCTACAGTAAAATGTATCTAAACGTGAAAAGAAATAGAAGAGGCAGTAAAACACAGGTGATCACAGCTGAGCAATCAAATGTCTGCCACAGTTCTAAGAAAATAGTGTCATACAATAAGCCACTATGTACTGTATCATGTCTTGTAAATGTAACAATTCTTAAAGCTCACCTGTGCTCACCAATATGTGGACATGAACGGATTACACCAGAAAGTGTTTTGCTTTGCTAAAGCAATTGCTTTAATTGTTAGAACAAGATATACAGAACTTACAGTTCAGACAAAATGAGTGGAATGACAATCACCTAAAGAGACAGTTACGATGGTGATAACCAAGAATTACAAATTAAATTGGCAGTACACCGCTGTACCTGATATTATGTATACACTCACTGGCCACTTAATTATGTACAGCTACAGCTAGTATGTAAGCTCATTTTCCATTTAATTTCCAAACGTGCACTTTGTGGTTCTGCAATTGCAGATTGTAGTTGATCTGTTTCTCTACATAACTTGTTAATCCTTTCACCTTGTTCATCAATGATCAGGACCCCAACCAGGACCACCACAGAGCAGGTATTATTTTTAGTTTGTTCTCAGCGCAGCAGTGACACTGTCATGGTAGTATGCATGGTACTGGTACTAGAGAATCAAATACACAATCAAAAACACCTCGTTGTCACTGCTGCAGTTTGAGAACACCAGAAAAAAAGGCATCCTGTGTGCAGCGTCCTGTGACCACTGATGAAGGACTAGAGAGGATGACCAACACAAACTGATCTATCGTCTCTGACTTTACATTTACAAGGTGGACCAACAAGGTAGGAGTGTCTAATAGAGTGGACACTGAGTGGCAACAGAGTTTAAAAACTCCAGCATCACTTCTGTGTCCAATACACCACCCAAATAATAGCTGCTCTGTGGAGGTCCTGGCAGGGTTCTGATCACTGAGGAACTGGATGAAAGGGGATAAAAGGTATGCAGAGATACAGATAGACTGCAGTCTTTAAGTTAGGAATACCTTAAAAATGACCAGTGAGTGCATACGTATATGTGGGGGAGAGAGACAGCAAGAGAACGAACATCTGAAGCCTAGTCCACTGTGCTAAACATACTCATACCTTAACAGACATGGGGGTTTCTGGTCAAATTCTTTGTCACTTTCAGCTTGTAAAGGTGGATTCTTCATGGCTGCATCAAAAACGAAGAAAAAGTAAGCAAGATTACTAAGAAACAGTCACCAGACAAAAGATGAGAATAATCCCAAAAGTAGACAGTATGACAAATCAGTACTAAGGAACATTAAGTCGTGTCATTAAACTTAAAGAACACAGTTAGTGTCCAGCTCTACAGTAAAATGTATCTAAACGTGAAAAGAAATAGAAGAGGCAGTAAAACACAGGTGATCACAGCTGAGCAATCAAATGTCTGCCACAGTTCTAAGAAAATAGTGTCATACAATAAGCCACTATGTACTGTATCATGTCTTGTAAATGTAACAATTCTTAAAGCTCACCTGTGCTCACCAATATGTGGACATGAACGGATTACACCAGAAAGTGTTTTGCTTTGCTAAAGCAATTGCTTTAATTGTTAGAACAAGATATACAGAACTTACAGTTCAGACAAAATGAGTGGAATGACAATCACCTAAAGAGACAGTTACGATGGTGATAACCAAGAATTACAAATTAAATTGGCAGTACACCGCTGTACCTGATATTATGTATACACTCACTGGCCACTTAATTATGTACAGCTACAGCTAGTATGTAAGCTCATTTTCCATTTAATTTCCAAACGTGCACTTTGTGGTTCTGCAATTGCAGATTGTAGTTGATCTGTTTCTCTACATAACTTGTTAATCCTTTCACCTTGTTCATCAATGATCAGGACCCCAACCAGGACCACCACAGAGCAGGTATTATTTTTAGTTTGTTCTCAGCGCAGCAGTGACACTGTCATGGTAGTATGCATGGTACTGGTACTAGAGAATCAAATACACAATCAAAAACACCTCGTTGTCACTGCTGCAGTGAGAATACCAAAAAAAAACAAAAAAAAAGGCATCCTGTGTGCAGCGTCCTGTGACCACTGATGAAGGACTAGAGAGGATGACCAACACAAACTGATCTATCGTCTCTGACTTTACATTTACAAGGTGGACCAACAAGGTAGGAGTGTCTAATAGAGTGGACACTGAGTGGCAACAGAGTTTAAAAACTCCAGCATCACTTCTGTGTCCAATACACCACCCAAATAATAGCTGCTCTGTGGAGGTCCTGGCAGGGTTCTGATCACTGAGGAACTGGATGAAAGGGGATAAAAGGTATGCAGAGATACAGATAGACTGCAGTCTTTAAGTTAGGAATACCTTAAAAATGACCAGTGAGTGCATACGTATATGTGGGGGAGAGAGACAGCAAGAGAACGAACATCTGAAGCCTAGTCCACTGTGCTAAACATACTCATACCTTAACAGACATGGGGGTTTCTGGTCAAATTCTTTGTCACTTTCAGCTTGTAAAGGTGGATTCTTCATGGCTGCATCAAAAACGAAGAAAAAGTAAGCAAGATTACTAAGAAACAGTCACCAGACAAAAGATGAGAATAATCCCAAAAGTAGACAGTATGACAAATCAGTACTAAGGAACATTAAGTCGTGTCATTAAACTTAAAGAACACAGTTAGTGTCCAGCTCTACAGTAAAATGTATCTAAACGTGAAAAGAAATAGAAGAGGCAGTAAAACACAGGTGATCACAGCTGAGCAATCAAATGTCTGCCACAGTTCTAAGAAAATAGTGTCATACAATAAGCCACTATGTACTGTATCATGTCTTGTAAATGTAACAATTCTTAAAGCTCACCTGTGCTCACCAATATGTGGACATGAACGGATTACACCAGAAAGTGTTTTGCTTTGCTAAAGCAATTGCTTTAATTGTTACAACAAGATATACAGAACTTACAGTTCAGACAAAATGAGTGGAATGACAATCACCTAAAGAGACAGTTTCGATGGTGATAACCAAGAATTACAAATTAAATTGGCAGTACACCGCTGTACCTGATATTATGTATACACTCACTGGCCACTTAATTATGTACAGCTACAGCTAGTATGTAAGCTCATTTTCCATTTAATTTCCAAACGTGCACTTTGTGGTTCTGCAATTGCAGATTGTAGTTGATCTGTTTCTCTACATAACTTGTTAATCCTTTCACCTTGTTCATCAATGATCAGGACCCCAACCAGGACCACCACAGAGCAGGTATTATTTTTAGTTTGTTCTCAGCGCAGCAGTGACACTGTCATGGTAGTATGCATGGTACTGGTACTAGAGAATCAAATACACAATCAAAAACACCTCGTTGTCACTACTGCAGTGAGAATACCAAAAAAACAACAAAAAAAAAGGCATCCTGTGTGCAGCGTCCTGTGACCACTAAAAAGATGTAATAAAAGATGTAATAAAACATATAATGAAATATGTACTAATTATATGAAAAGCAATATTATTAACGATACTATAAGTGAAAGCACCTGGGACAAGCTCTAGGTCCTGATCGGTAGAGAACCATAAAGTTGGCCTTAGGAAGAGAGAACATTTGGTAAAGTTTTAAAAGGCTAACTTCAACAACTAAAACACATACAGGCATATTTCTGTTGACTAACTAGTGCAAGCATTCAGGTGTCTGAAATCCAGTAAAGATGTTGCTTACATACCTGAAACATACAGATTTGTTTCTGACCTCTTCTGCGCTTAGACGGTCAGCGAGGAGCTGCAGTCAAGCTCAAAGGCATCCTCACCATTCAGAATTTTAGTGATATTAAAATGAAAATTTTAAAATGCAATTCAAAACGAAATGCATGGGGACAATCTTTATGGGTAACTCCCAATCTTAGAGCATTTTTCAATTTTCAAAGACAGAAGCCCGCAATCTCTATCTTCTCCATCCTTAAAAGTGGACAGACTCTGGTCCACATCGTACTGAAAAAATGTTAGCTACCAATTCTGAACAAAGCAGGAGGCCATATTTCTCTTATTTTTATAATTTTTCATTAAAGAACCTTAAATGTCAATGTTTTCAGTCCACACTTCGAGGTGGCATGGAAAAATGCATAAAAGCAAACTTCAGCTTGATGAACGACACAACATGAAATCTGTACTACAGATAGTAGAACTCTTGCTAATGCACTCTGCGCTCTGTCCCACAGCCGGCAACATGCTACAGAAAGAAATGTAAAAAAAAGGTGCTTCCATACCTGAGAAATGCTGGTGGAAGATGTAGGAAACGTGAAAGTCATTACAAGAAGAGTACACATTTGGTGAAGTGTTAAAGCGGTGACATGGATAGAAAAGAAAACAAAGACTTCACAAACATTAGTCTGATACAGGATGTTAAGTCACTTAGCATCTAGTCACCAGATCACAGCTCAGTGATAATAGCTTACTGTTTTAACTGTAAGTGGAGCACGTCACTTCCTCATACATATATATATATATATATATATATATATATATATATATATATATATCTTCTAAACTCATGTTGAGTGGAGCATCAAACTTGGTCTGTGTTGTTTGAAGCCAATAGCCTGCTAGCCAGCAAGCTAACAACCCCACACATCACAGAGGCTGGTTAGTTCCTCCTTTTCTTTTAGCATGAGTTAGCAGGAACTGAACCGTTCAATAGCTTCCAGCTATTAACTCAGCCTGCTAACGTTAGCTAAGCTTGCACAAACAGGTTTAACAACTCTAACAACTGTACACACCAGTTTAGTAAAATATAGCTAGCTATATTAGAATACAAATTTGGCACCGTTCCAAAGTCAAAATTGTATTTTTAAAAACACCTTTCTTATTTTGTCAGAGCAAACATTCATCTGAGGTGAGACGCTGGTCTTGCTTCCACAGCAGAAAACAGTTAGCTAACTGACTGTTAGCCAGTGATGCTCATTTTCATTTTAACACATAAAGAGTTCAATGCTAGCAAATCATAGGATTAGGTTTGAGTAAACCTAACTCTGACTGGAAAACTGTTGGTACGTCAAATAAACCAAGCATTTACTTACCAGATGCGCTTTGAAGCCTTCAGACGATTCCTGAAACTGCTCTAAGCGCGCGCTTCCTGCCTCTGCGACGGAGCGTTGGTGACGCCTCGGACCTCAGTACGGGTAGAAAATGCCTCAATACGCGTGGAATATAAATACGGGTGGAATCTGCCTCAATACAGGTGGAGTCTTCCTCAATATAGGTGGAACCTGCCTCAGTACGGGTAGAATCTGCCCTTTGGACGCTACTGGGTTGGTTTGCTCAACAGCAGACCTGCCCAGGTACTAGAACTCATGGAAAAAGTTACATCAACTTGAAATTTTCACTTAATGCAATGTCTGACAGTTGTAAACTCAGTACAGGTTGCTGAATCAGTTAAATCATCATGAGAAAGTTGGACCAACTGTATTTTTTAAATTTGCCTAACATTTAACCAGTTGGATGTTTTGCAGTGTAGTGTTTGGTTTTACAATAATTTGCAATCTACACAACTCTATGTGTTGTTGATTTTCTAAATGTAAGTCACAACCTCTACAGACACATATGTTCTTCTGCACATTCTAAAGCATACAATTACAGTTTATTTCCTTAATTTAACATATTGCAAAAATGTGATGTGCAAAAGTATTGGCACTTTAAATGCATTATAAGTATTAGTGTCTAAATGTGAAGACAAATGTCATATTTAAGTTTATACCTGTAAAGGATTTGTTCTGATATTCAGGCTTAGAGCATCAAGAATGTTTAATTCGACAAAGGATGTCCAAACTTCTACATAAGACTGTGCCATTTTCCAGTCATTTGCCAAGATGAGTTTTGCTGCCATGGTGAAACAAATCCTAATATATGGATCATATGTTAATTTAGGGGGACTCATGAACCCCATCCTCAAAACAATCTTAATATTGTTTTATCTTCAAAACTGAAATGAAATGTTTGCCTTTGAACATTAAAGTCCTAAGATCCCGCAACAGCAAAAACATGACAGCAGGAGTGTGGCTTAGCAGTCTGTCTTAGCTCATATTTATTATGGCTATGCTGATCCACAAACTACAATTCATTATTGATTCAATGTCTGTTTTTCAACCTAAACATTAGGTTAATTTCGTCAATCAACATTCAACATTGATTTTATGTTGTTTTGTCAATCAACATTCAACATTGATTTAATGGTGTTTTTTCATCATCAACCAAATGCAACAAAACTAAGCAACATTTAATGTTGAATCGATGTTACTTTGCTATCTGAGATGTTTTCATGAGAAGACAACTTAAAACCTTGAATGAATGAATCTCTGAAATGCCAAAGCTTTCATTTTGGGGTATCTAAAGCGCTGAAAAGGCGTTTAATGCTCACCAGAAGCACTGAAATGCTTTGGATCATTCAGAAACACTTATGTTAAGCTGAAAACATATATTACTTAGAAGTAGACTTCTGGGCCATGCAAATGTGTTTATTGCTAGCAATAAACTATGATAAACTATAATAAAATATGACGTTTTCATGAACAACAAAGCAAGAAAAAACTTTTGTGAATGAATCTGTGAAATGCTGAGGTTTTCCGTTTTGGACTCTCTAAAGCACTGAAAAGGATTTGTCAGCTAACCAGAGGCGCTGAAATTCTTTAGACCCTTGGCATGGGCCTCGGCCTAGGCCTCAGAGCTCCCTTTCCACACTGTATACTTTCCAGTCTAAATGGCTGGGTAATTGGTAGCAGATCATTGCCAGGGTTTGAGAGCATTCACAATTTGTTTTTAACAATAGTTTTTATTCATGGGTTTTGGTTTGTGGACGTTTGGCTGTTCACCAAATCCCCAAAAATTCAGCTGCGTTGACTCTAAAGAACAAAATCAGACATAAATGCTGTAAAGCTCAGGTCTTCACTGCCTGGCTCTCACAAAAAAGGCCAAAGATTTGGATTGGAGCCTATAGGCCCTGTCCAGTGTCATCATCCTTAAGACCTGCACATTTCACCTTAAAAGATTACAATACCAATTACCCAGCAATGTAGACTGTAAAGAACAAAATGTGGAGTTGGAGCTATGAGGCCTAGGCCCAGTGTCTTCTCGCCAACC